GTTCGTGCATATTCCCCCTCAAACACAGGAACACACACACACACACACACACACACACACACACACACACACACACACACACACGCCCAACGAGAGGGTTCCACACTGGCTGCGACCCTGCCGCCCTCACTGAGTGCCACTGTTTTATCTCTGTCCTGCAGATGGAGGTAGTGAGCACATTCAAGCGAAGCGGCTCGTTTCAGGGAGCAGTGAGAAGGCGCTCCTCCGTGCTCAGTCAGCTCCACGACGTAAACACTATATCTACCCCCTCTCACGTAGCTCTCTCCACCGCAACAGCCAATACCAGCCCAGCCCCAGGGAGTGAGTCCGCCGAAAGCATGCACACACAGTTTTCTTACACACACACACACACACACACACACACACACACACACACACACACACACACACACACACACACACACACACACACACACGCACACACATTTATGCACGGCACGTGGACTTGCAGTATTTTACAGTCGATGGTTGTGCCCCCCCTCCAGCTCGCCCGCTGCTCATGCGTGTACAACGTTTCCTCTATGCTTTTTTTATTTCTTATTCTCCCTTTCAAACAGCACCCGGTCCTGACCAGCTGTGCAATTCTGGTCTGATCTGGTCTGGTCCAAATCCAGGTCTGGCCCGAGTCCAGAGTGTGTTTGATTTTATGTTTGAGTGTTGCGTGTGGTGCAGGAGGTTGCTGTCTGTTCGCTCACTGTGTCAAGAGTCCTGCCAGAAGAAGACTCACGTTTCAAGGGGAAATCAAGTCCAAAATGACCATATTTTCTCTGCAGCCCCACTAATCTACGTACGATATTCAGATCATTATTATTGCGTTTGTGGGATATGAATTCAGCAAAAAAAAAAAATCCATGTTTTCATCCATCTCAGTGGGGATGGATGAAAACATGGAAGCTGGCCATGTTTTATATACCTCTCAGCCCTATAGACAGCAATGATATTGTCCCACATTATTTTAAATTTCATTAAGTTGTGTGTGTGTGTGTGTGTGTGTGTGTGTGTGTGTGTGTGTGTGTGTGTGTGTGTGCGTGTGTGTGTGTGTGTGTGTTTAACTTTATTTGGATGTGTGGTTGCTTGTTCTGCTCATGCGTGCGTTGTAGTAAGTACGCTCTTGATGTTGATCGGCTGTCGCCACCATGCCACCGCCAAATAATCACTTCGGCATGAAACGGCGAAATAGGGAAAAGAGCAAAATTTTTGCTTGGAATTCTTCAAACGTGCCACCCGGCACCCAAACGCACATGATTACGCGAACTGCATTGGCTATTTATGGACATGCACTGCCAGAAATGCACACGCATTCGGTCTGACTGTAGCATAAGGCTCAATGTTGCGAACGTCACATGACCAAACCAAGAAAACGGGTCAGTCGTGATTGGTCGTTACCTGAGTCCATCGGTGCTGTGATGTGATGTCATTTTCAGTCGACATGTGGCAAAATGGCCGTCCCCCTGAGGGGGATAAAAATTGGTGGATTTTGCTGCTCATTTTAAATTCCACAAACGCGATATTAATCAGAATGTTTAGATTTATGGGTGTGCACGGAACATATTGTGAGGAACATTTTTGACTTGATATTCCCTTTTAGTAATAATACATAGTTGAAATATACCCCCCCGAAAGAATGATAGCTATTGAAATGATCTAATTGATCCCGGTGGAAGGTATGGATCAAAGTTCCCAGAGGTGACGACAGCTCCCGCTGCACCATGTCTTACAATATTTCCTGTGTGTCAATGAGGTCAAGCCAGGTTACCGTGTTTAAAATGACTGCTCTCAAGCTTAAGAAGTCAAAGAAAATAAGTTGCTGGCGTGATATTTTTGGAATGCTACAATTAGAGTATTGGCCAAAAGCTGTAAACCTTCGAGTATAAAAGCCCTCAAAACCGCTGCTGTTGCCTAACTTGCCATTCGAAGTTGAGTTTCCCTTTGAGCTTTGTTTCTCCTTCGTCTCCTCCTCTCAGTTTTGTTCAGCGTGTTTTGGATCGATGATGTCTGTAACACGACTTTCAGCTTCAACATCTCACGTTTGCCTCTCGTCCTGAGCCCTCCAAAACGTTGCGGTTTCTTTCCCTGTCTGTCCCGTTTGTTTGTTAACTTTCTCTCTTTCTCCAATGCCACTCTTGACTTTCTCTTTGCTGTATGTTCTTTTTGTTTGAGATATTACAGGATGTCCTGTTTGCCCAAAGCGCTCCTAAAGACTGTGAAATGTACTCTGTTCTATACGTAGTAGAGTTGTTATCTTGTAGATGTATTTGGATTGCGCCAGATCTGAATACAGGCTTAGTTTAACGCTAAGATTTCTTTAGATTTTCGCATCCTTTTTTTTTTTTCCTTGTTCCTCCTCCTTTTGTCCTTTCCCTCGTCCTTGATGTCATCCATTTTTGTCACTGTCCCCATCTCCTGTGGAGAGTAGCGCAACCCACCTCATATTTCCTCTTTGATTTCTCTGTATGTCAGTTCGGCGTGCGTCTGTTTGTGCGTGTACTTGCTGATGTGCCCAGAGCCGCTGTTGTGACCACTGCTGTGTGTTTCTCAGTCCGCGTGTGAGCAGACGAGCTGTGTGTGTATGGCGACGTGCGTGCCGGTGCTTTTGACGTGTCTTTGTGTGTCCGCGTGTGTGTGTGTGTGCATGCTTGTGTGTGTGCTTGTGCTGTCTCCTCATCCGTCCTTTCTCAGTTGCTTCTCCTTTCCAACCTTGCTCCTTCCCTCATGCCTTTATGCCTCCTGCCATCCCACACTGCCTTTCTTCTTCATCTTGCGCCGTCACTCCGAGTGACGTAGGAGGAAAGACACAGAGGCTGGCGTCTTACGCTAAACCGCGCTGCTTTCTTGACCGTGGCCATTTTCCACAGACGCAAAAAAAATCCTGGCCGTTCTTGAAGAACATTTCTGTTTTCCTGTCATGATTGCAGTACAGCATATCATGAAGTGTCTTGCATTTTCATCGCGGGGAGATCTTTGCATTTGAGTGGAAACTGGTGACTGGTAGAAGTAAAATGAAGGTATGTGCGTGCAGTGGTAAAGGGTGCTGCTGCTGGTTAGCTTGCTTTTTTTTTCTTCAATTATTTTCCCTCAAAAGTTCTTGAAGAGCTTTTTTGTGAACACCTGGTCGTAGCATGACACGTACAGTCTTGAATTTGGACAGACAGATGTTCTCACTTTTGGTGGTGATCGATTCATCTGTGGGATGACAACACCGCAACTACATGAATGAGCAGTCAGGCCCCCGACCCCCCCCAAATACTTACCAATGAGGCTGTGATTTCAGGTCTTTTCATTTTTCTCAGAAAAACTGAAGAGATGTTGCTGCCCATCAAGGCACTTTTGAATGTCATGTTGACGCCTGCCTTATTACACTTGGAATGAACACGGTACTATTGCATGGCCACCGAATTAAAACAAGACCTTGCCTTGCATGAACAAGTGCTTCAGCCCGCAGGCTGTAACTCTTGTGTCTGACACCGACTCGGGCAAGTCACGCAGCCCGCCGTGTGTGCACGGCAACCCTGTGCTGTCCGCACACGATTTATACGATAAAGTAGCCTGTACAATGACTTAAACTGTAAGTCATCCCGTATCTGTCGACTATTAGGCTGTGCTCATGTTTGGTTTAAAGATGGCTGTGAACATTGGAATTTATAGAGAAGGGATCTTAACTCAAAATGTTTCGATTTGCCTAGTCCAGGGGTCGGCAACCCAAAATGTTGAAAGAACCTTAATGGACCAAAAAACAAAAAACAAATTAAAAAATTAAAGGCCTTATATAAGCCTTACAATGAAGGCAACACATGCTGTATGTATCGATATTAGCTATATTAGCCTCTTGTGAAAATGACTAAGTTGGCTACAAATACACAATAAGCCTTCATGATTAAATCTTTTTTCCCTTGCAGTGCATCCTGTAGACCAGGGGTGCCCAACCTTTTTTGACGGAATATCTACTTTTTGATCAATCAACCTCACGCGATCGACCCGTTACCGCGCACACGCACGCCATAATGAGCAACAGAGACAACGGTCGCTAAGATAATAGAGTCATGGGACACACTTTTGCAGCGTGTTAACTATCGTAGCTCATGTATACCGTTTAAAAATGCTTCTCTCGGCCCTCCACATTCCCATTCTTTGCCAGTACCCTCGGTGAATTGTACATGAAATGCTGTTTTTTTTTTTGTTTTTTTTTACAACAGCCATCTGCCTGGCATCCCGTCCTGCGACACACGCAGGTTATGACGCAAATCTTCATTGACAGAAATTTAATATTTATTCTACACATTTTTACAGCATTGAAACACATTTAGAATGTTTGTGTCATGTTTGTACTCCTGCAGAAGCCATATTAAAACAAAAATATATTTCCCTCCCCCATCTTTTTCCATTTTTAAAAATTTTTGAAAAAGCTCCAGAGAGCCACTAGGGCGGCGCTAAAGAGCCGCATGTGGCTCTGGAGCCGCGGGTTGCCGACCCCCGGCCTAGTCGATCCGTCAAACAAAATCAAAACATCTCATTCACACATTTTCGCTGGATTTATTTCCACCATTAACCCTCTTCCACATCCACACTGTGGTACAATCAGGTTTATGCCTGATTTGCATGTGCAAAACGTACAATATGTAAATCAGGTGTTCTCCAGAGAAAGTGACATGATGACTCTGTTCATGAAATCCGTAGCACTGTTGCATAAAATTTTCAGAAATGGCGTGTTTTATGTCTCACTTCATGACGGAAAAGCTCAGCCTTTGAGTGCTGCTCGTGTTCAGGTAACTTCTGCGTCATCCGTTTACTCCACCGGTGTTCTCGGAAAAGCAGGCCCAGCTCTCAGACTTCCGTATTTTAGATTTGAGATATAAGAAGAAAGATGTGTGTCTTTTGCGCTTTCATCCACCTTGAGCAATGCTGGACCTTTGTGATTGATCCCTGTGGATCCAGTTTGTTTTCATTTCATATTGGCCTACTTTCATCGACATACAGCAGAGTACAGAAAGAGATTACTGTTGAGATCACCTCTCTCACTTCTCCGTTCCTTCATTCGTTCTTGTGTTGTTGCATATTTTACAAGGGGGTATTCTTCTCCTCCCTTTGCGTCACAGACAAAAAGAGAGAATGGTTGTGGCAAGAAGGGCTGCCGCTGAAGTGAAAAGCATGCATACCAAAAGGACGGTAGCACTCACTGTTTGCTCACCTAACGTGAGATTTGGGAACTTTTGTAAGGGCCATCAGCCTCACAGCTTCTCTCTGTATTTAAGTTGCAGTTTGTTCCCATCAGCAGTTTTTTTTCCACCCCACACAGCAGCCTCAACCTTCCAGTGCCTCTACCCTTGTACTTTTAATCATAATCGTTTTTCCATCAAGCTATGCTGAGAGGGCCGGCAGGGAGGGATGAAGGAAGAGAGAGGGAGGGAGAGGGATGGATGGAGAGAAGCTGAGAGAAAGCAGTAACACAGCAGCGCCCTGACCTCCAGGTCTCTCTGGTCACACTGTGGGCGACATATACTCGAAAGTTTACTCCACCTACGGGGACCAAAATGAAAACAAACCAAGTGCCGACAAAGTGAGAAAGTAACGTTCTGAAACCTTCTCAGTCTGCATGAAGTGTTTTTCTGCTGTCTGACAGGCTCTTTGGAAAAACAGATAAGCACTGAACCTACCGCTTGACCGTCTGTCTGTCTGTATGTCTGTCTGTCCGCCAGTTTGTCTGTCTGCCAGTCTGTCACCTATGCCAGAGTCATGTGTAGAGACTTCTCAGAGTTTGGCCAACTGCAGCATCTACCCCCCCCCCCCATTGAAGCTACTTGATTGTCAAAAGTATACAGTAATCGCTGTTGCAGTTGATAGAAAGCCTTTGGCCAAACGGTCTCTATGGAAGTCTCTGTCTGCCCGCGCCTGTCTGTTATCGTTGCATTCAATTTTCTCCTTTTCTTTGAGCTCATTCTGCTTTCCCTCGATTTGGCCTTGGGGGAAGCGTGCATGGAACGACCGCCATGGCCGGGGAATGCCTTTATGCGCACCTACACCGCACACCGCATCACGCACCTCCCAACACACTCACGGACCTCACGCTGGTGTGAGTTTGTATGACAGAGAGAGAGAAAGAGCGAGAGATAGAGAGAGAGTCTGTGAGTGACAGTCATCTGATTCAGCATGACCTGGCTGCCTGTGGACGCGTGACATGGCTGACTTTGAACCAATCACCTCTTGTTTGAAATAATCTAACCAATCACATGCTCTTCTAACCTGCTGTGACGCCTGCTTTCTTTTTTTGCAACTCTTGAATTTTATTTTTTTATGTCCCGCAGCAACCTTTCTCATCAGCATCATCCTGATTCCACTCTCTTCGTTTCTCTCTCATGCATGTCTGCAGGACATTTTGGCAAATGCGTGTGTGTGCCCGTGTGTGTGCACAGCGATTGCTAACAGATTGACTCGGAACTCACAGTGCACATTTTTCCAATGCATGCTGATGTCCAAAGTGCCAAGCTCACTACATGGAAAACTGCCTTTCCGTTCTGTTACAACGGCTACTGCATGTGTGTGTGTGTGTGTGTGTGTGTGTGTGTGTGTGTGTGTGTGCGTGTGTGTGCGTGTGTGCGTGTGTGTGCGCGCGCGCGTGGTTGTGCGTGTGTGCGCGCACCTTGGCGCGTGTGTGGCCACTTGGTGATTTCTTGATTCTACATTCAACTAACTCACTATTATTGCTTCTTCTCCATCTGTGCCTGGCATTTAGCCTCATCTGTGTGCATGCATGCTAGCCGGTGTGCTGCAGTGCGAGTGTATTTTTACCGCACGCTCAAACACACACTCAAACACACCCTCACATTTTTGTCGACTCTACCACGCACGTCAGGTGCGTATTTATGCGAGGTGTTTTGCTGCTTCTGTGGTCTTTGTGGATGCTGCAAGGTCTGTCTGGTGTGTCAGAACTGACATAAGTGTTTGTCAATAGCAAACTCATTTCAAAACACCTTTTTTTTTTTTCAACATATTTTGATGACACGCGGGATCAGGCGGACTCCCTCTGTACTTCGGCTAAAATGAATACATTTTTACTCCCAGCAATGTGTTTGTACAGCAAATAACTACGAATGCATGGCCGTAGATAGACAAAATTCGCTGCAGCAGAAGCGGACGGACGACCGTGAATCCGATGGTAGGATACAATAATCCGGAGAGGTTGAATCAACGGGACTTCTTCGATTTGGAATTCGTCTGTCTGGGCTTTTAAACAAATAACTTGTTTCTTTGCGTCTGGTGGAGTGCCCCCAAATGTAATTCTTAGGACGTAGTAGCTCTTGGGAAGTGTTCACATCATTCATAGTCATCGTTGCATTCGAGTCCTCTCTCAAATTATAGGCTCATTTCATCAAGAATACATTGTTGTCCGAGCAGCGTGGTGTACATCATGTCTGCTTCACAGTTGAAAGGTTTGAGGTCCAGCCTTGAATGAGGATACACTATGAGGGATAGATTACCCATGAACCGAATGCTGTTAAGCATAGTGGATGGATGGATTAGGTCATCGACACAATGTCCCATGAGTCTGAACATCAATTAGTGGCACATCAGTTTTTGGATTTGGAACACTCATATTTATCAGTGACTGCATCTTTATCCGAGGCCATACACATTTTGGAACAAAGGTTCCATCTGGGGGATGCGTGTGGGGGTCCCCCCCCCCCCACCAGACAGTTGGAGGAGTTTTTAATGAAATGTTGAACACAAAAGAAGTCCAGCTGCCTTTGATTCAACCCCTACGGAATCTCATCACCGGGATAATCAAACGTAATTTACGATAACATCCTGTTTCAGTCAATCAAGCTTTGAGTGGGATAGACACAAAGCCTGACCCAAAGTCATGACCTTTCTTCCTTGAAAATTATCGACAAAGCTGTCTTGAAGTCAAACGGCTTGCATAGGTCACAAATTTCCAACTAGCCAAAAAGTTTTTTATGGACATGCGCCACATTTTTGGTACAACTAGTAGCAATTCCTTTCATTTGGCTGTAGACTGAAAACATTCGGATTTGACATCAAACAATAAAAAACAATCTATCAATGTTTTAGCTTTTATTTCCAGGTATTTAAAGCTGGATGAGATACAGAACTCAGAAGATGCACCTTTTGTTTGAGTCCAACCCTATTTCTTGTGAGTTCAGGAATTGGAACATGCGACTGACAGGTGTGTTTTTTTAAGCCATTTATGTCCTACATTTAATATTCAAATAATAAAGCGCACTGATTTGTAGATTCGGATTCAGAGAGGAATCCTGCTTATGAAGTCTACGTTTACGCTAGGTAGTAATGTTCGGTATGGTCGTTGCAACTCGCAGAAAAAAAAAAAAAAAGTTATGTTACTTTTCTCTGTGGTGAAAAACAAGCAAGCATAAAGCTGAAAAACGATGGAATATCAATCAGAGCCACTGTGCAAACGTTTTCCGTACTCAGTACAACAATTTGAATTCTTATGGAGAAGTTAGGAATCATTGGTGGACAAAGTAACAGACGTTGAGTGGGTAGAGTAAGGAGAAAAAAAAGCAGCAGTTGACAGAAAAAAAAGACCACAAAACAAATGTTAGTGTTATTCACTTCAGTCACTGTTGCTGAGCTAAATATATGGGCTTGGATGACAAATAATGCGATCTTCTGAGTTGTTTATAAGATGCAACAAGAGATGGAAATAAAGGGGTGAATGTTTAATTTCTTTCCCTCTTATTCATATTTTGATGTCAAATTCAAATGTCTCACTTTTGTCGCTTGACGCACAATTTGAAAAAAAGGAGAATGACGTAGTCATGAAGAGTTAACCGGAAAGCCACCTGGCCCCGAGTGTCTGTCCATTTGTGTCTGTATGTCTGTCTGTCTTCTGGAGAAGACCAATCGGTCTTTGCGGGTTTCCCTTGACTTGTTTTCCCCCACTTCAGCGTTTGACTTGTTCTTCTCTTGTTCTTGTGGTTTCTCCCACACCTTCCCCTCCTTTCGGCAGATGCGAGTGGTGAAAGCATTCCGTAGTTCGCTGTACGAGGGCCGGGAGAAACCAGAATCCCGCAATTCCATCCACAACTTCATGGCCCACCCGGAGTTCCTCATCAATGACCTCATCCACAACATCCCGCTGATTGATGACACCGATGTGGACGACGACTCAGAACTCAGCAGATATCAGCACGTGCACCCGGCCCTTCGCAAGCCGCCGCCCCCTCCCGCTCAGCCCCAGCCCACGGCCCGCACCCGTCCCACTCGTCCATACCGCCAGTATAGCCTCCCAGTGACCCAGTGCAACCGAAATAATAACAACAGCAGCAGCAGCAGCAGCAGCGGCAGCGGGGCTTCATCAATCGTCCACGCCAACAAACACAGCATCAACACCATCACCCCAAGCAACCAAACCCCTCGTCATCATCACCACCAACACTGCAACAACCATCATAGCAGGGACCGGTTGGGGAAGCCCCCAACTCCTTACCTAGCCCACCTCTACTGTGTGGAGACCACCTTATAACTGAGTGGGTCGGCGAGAATGGGAACTGAATCCTGGGGTGGGGCAGAGGAGAGAGCTTGAGGACACACACATGACATTTCCATCCAGTCTCTCCTGTGTGACAGGAGGGGGGAGGACGATGGCTGCTGACTCCACGTGAACATTGACGCGATCAAAGTACAACTCCCTCCCCCTCATCCACCAGCCGCCCGCCCTGCCTTGACCTCGCTCGCTCTTCAGCCTGGCCTCCATCTGCCGACGGTGGGCTTGGAGACGGAGGGGCTCCCTGGCCGTGAAGCCCCCCCCCCTCCCCACGCCCCCGAATCCCTTCATTCCGACCGGTGTTAATCGAGTGTGGTTGCCGTGACCCCGCCCACTTGCCCGCCAGGACACCACGACCTCCGTGCTCAACAATTATCTGGTTTGTCATTGAAAACGTCAAAGCAGCTCGTTTTTGCTTGTGATGTAATTGTTGAAGCTTTAACTTCCTCATCCGTTCCGCCCCGATTCATTCATTTCGGAACATGGTGCTCATTAGTTTTCCACATTGCTTCACTTCTTGGCTTTGTCACTGCAGCATGATATTCATTTTCATTTTACTTCCGATCACTCCCCCCCACTCTCTCTTTCAATATGTGTGTGTTGTCTTGTCTCTTCTGAGGAAAAAAAAAAAGAATATATATATATATATATATATGTGTGTGTGTGTGTGTGTGTGTGTGTATACATTTCAAAGTTACCCTTCATTTAGGCCTAATAGTAAAGGAAGGAGTTATACAAGTATATATACAGTACATATGTATATATGATATTATTTTATTTTTTTTATTAATAATTGGGAAGCGACAATACAGAACTTGTCATCAGTCGCCAATCCTTGAATGCTGCCCCATGTCCACATGATATGTTGTCTGTGTGGGATGCGCACATCCCTTCGCCACGGTTCAGCGGCCCCATGCATACGATGAACTGGTGGATGGCTTCCGTCACGATGCTGTATCCGATCGAAGCCTCTTCATTTCCTCTCCCTCGTCTTGCTGTTCCTCTTCGCCCGCTTTGCTTTGGCTCGCTATCCCTAATGTGTTTTTTTTTTTTTTTTTTGGAATGCTTGTGAGGCATTATCCCTTTAAATGGCATCAGGTCACAATGCACAGACTTTGGCCCTTTAAGACTGACACTCACCTCAAACCTGCTCTTGCTCACATGTCATGGGGTCAACACCATCATGGATGGGGAGGATAGCTTGATTGACTGATTGATTCACACAACTAAATATTCATTGTTGGATTAGCCCCTAACCCTAACATGGAAAACATTGTCAATTACGTCACATAAATGATATTTGATCATTTAAGTTTCCCATCAGTAAGGAGCAAAGTTTAGCTAACATCTGCACTGCAAATAATAATTCATGAACTCAAACTTTCAAGGCAAACTCAAACTTATCATAACAAATCATTTTAAGTTGGGTCATTTGAAATTGGCTTTCCCGCATTTCACAAGAAAGAAATAAGAATTAACAAAATCCCAACTGAACAACTCAGCAAATTGTTTTGGAGCAAACAACTCTCTTGCTTTGTTGTGCTAACTATCATTGTTGCCATCAATGTCAGTAATTTATTTCTATAACTTGTTCCGACTTAAATTTCTGTGTTCGCTCCCCAAAAATAGAAGTTGTATATTTTAAAGTGTGATGGTTGCATGACAAGATCCGTATTTTCATATTTGTTACGCCGCTGAGCATTGTCTTGCATGAAAACTGGACGCGCACGCACACACACACACACACACACACACACACACACACACACACACACACACACACACACACACACACACAAAAAACTAACCCGCTTTCTTATTTATAAATGATAATTCAATAGTAAGCGGAAACCTGCGGCATTTTCCTCACTCACTTGTTAAAGTCTTAAATATAATTTCTAAAGTGTGACTTTCAACAGCTCTAAGATCAGATTCTATGGAAGAACTTAGTGTTACAATTGTCCCCACCAGGCCATCCCCACCTCAAATCTTTGTTTTTCATAGCCAATTATTGAAATACGTCACAATACTTGATTGTTACGATATTTCATTTTCAGATTCTACTCCTCTTCAAACATTTCACCGTCGTCCTTTGCCTTCTGCCGCGAGAAATCATGCATTTTTGCTGCCTCATAGTGAGGCTTTCGGGTTCCATTGTGAACTCCTTTGTCAGTGACCAATTACGGTTGCTTGCCTGATCAAGGGAGGCAAGTGAACGGACCCATCCTATCTTGTACAGTCTAACTGTTTATATTCCACTACACAGACCGACAACAGCACTTTGCTTTTGCAGAAGTAGATGGGACATACTTTTTTTTTGCATATTTATGTCCATGTGGCTCTGGGGTCAATTGTAACACAAAAGCAACAGACAAGCCAACCGTTTCCAAATCACTTTGAAAGGCGTCATTGAATTAGTGTGATGTGTTATTTGCTCTCGGTTGGCCCCGCGAAGCTCTTGTCTGAGATAATGGCAACAAGGTGAAATTGTTCATGTTTTCAAGGGTAGAACGCAGCCACACAAAGAGTTGACAACATACATGATGGTAAGACCATGTGAGCCGATGACATCTCACATTCCTCCACATTCATCTCCGTGACCTTCCGTGGACATTCCAAACAAGCGTGTCCCAAGTTGTACCACGTGTGGGTGAACTGCTGACTTCACGTTGCCTTGGAGTGCAACGCAATGCAAATCAACTCCCACCCTCCGGTCACCACCACCACCACCACCACCTTCTTGTCTTCGCGCCTCCCCTCACTTTTTTCCTGTTGACTTCTTGACCGGATCCACCACCAGAAAAAGGCAAGGGCGGTTAATATGCAACTGACTGACATGTCATCCTGTGTAACCCAGATTAGAACTGCAGTCCAACAGGGATGCTAACACATGCAAAAACAGAGCAGGAAGACGCGTGTCCTTGCCCAGTTCCGCTTCAGGAGGGGCGCAAGGCTCTCTGGAAAAAAAAAAAACAAAACCCGTAACTGTACAGAACTCTTGTCTTCTTGAATGCTCATCATCATGGCCGCCACCCACACCTGGGTGGCGGCCTTGTGTTCCTCTTGTCTGTTTTGAAGCATGCATTTTGGTATCATTAATGTCACTCTTTATGTGTAGGTAAATCATTTAGACGACTGTCACAACTGTGTGCTATGAACTCTCCACGTTTGCTCTCTCTCATGCGCACACACACCCACACACACACACGCGCACACACACACACACCTGTTCAAGTCTAACCCTGTCTATTTCATTGCCTCGTAGCACAGCTCTGTCAGTGCTTCTTACGGTTGACAAAAAAGAAAAAGACACACACACACACACACACACACACGTACACACCAAACATACCGAGCAAATCTACAGTGTTGTAAATTAGACGGACCAGTTCCAGCCATTTCTGTCCATCTGTCCAGAGCCATGTTACATTATGATGTTGTGAGTTAGATTAACAGAAGGCAAAGCAGAATGTGAAAAAAGAATATATTTATCCCAAATTAGAAATTGTACCACTGCATCAAAACTGTACAGCTCGCCCCTAAAGTGCACACGCGCAACTTTAATTTACAGGTACTATGTTCCTGTTACTCTCTTTTATGCTTATTTTTTTCTTTCCTTTTAGTCCTTTTGCTTTTTGTAAGGAGAGGAAAAACGAAACAGAAGCACTTGTACATTACTATGATTATTGATTTTCTCCACCGGTGCTCCCACTGATGGAAAACAATATGTTGCACATTTTCCTGAGCATATTTTGAGGGCTGTGTTTTCTGTCCAGTGAACAGACCCTGAAGCGTGCGGAGGGGCCCAGATGCTTTTAAGTCTCTTGAGACCGTCGCAGTGACTCTGTAAATAAGCAAGAGACAAAAGTACTTTCTTATTCTCAAAAGGACTGGACGACTGGAGGGTGGCACAGAGCTAGAGACTGCAGAAGTGCAATGCATCTATCGTCTGCATTGTTTAGGCTGCTCTTTTAGATCTGCCGCAGGTTTTTAACCGCCCGGGGGAGAAATTTTGGCTTTTACGTTATTCATGATACACACTGTTGTAAATTTTGTGCGTGGAATGGTCCTCCTTCTTGCACAATGCAGAGCTGTTCTGCAGACAGAAAATGCAGCCTGAACTGTGCTGAAATTAAAAAAAAAAAAAAAAGACCAAAAAAAAAACCCCCAAACAAACAAACACAAAGACTATTGAATATATTAAAGAGTTACCTGCCTGTTAAGCGAATAAATATCTATATATATATATATGAGGAAGAACACACCTGTATACTGTAGACAAACTGTACGGAAATCTAAGATAATTTATTGGGAATTAAGTCCTACACCTTTTGTCTGTATGAAAGAAAAAAAATACATCAAAGTATTCTACAATAATAACTTTGACAAGTCTGTGTGATCCTGTGTTGTTTGTTTGCACTGAATCTGAGTGGTAGTCATTCACATTGACCAAAAATATCGGGCGCTCCCTACATTCTGAGATTGAGATGAGTGCTCTCGTCTAGTCTATGTTAAATGGCTCCTCATCATGAGCAAGTTGTCAGGTTATGTTGCAATGGACTCATTTTAGGATAACCCACACAAAGGATTGAGAAAGGTTACCTGGCCGGGAGCAAGATAATGCAAGGATTTCTACAGTGGAGGTTGTCGGGGTGGACAGACAAGTTCTGGCTTTCCTCACTTGTAGTTGCTCAGCTTTCCAGTCATCTTTCAATCGCTGCTTGTTTGCAGGACTTGGTGCTTTCACTTTTCTTTTCAGTAAATGGACATTAGATCAAGCCCTCGAAGAATATTCAATTTCTTTGCCTTTTATCAAATGAAGGTGCTTATTTCATGTTTTTTTCCCTTCACAATGAAGAAAATGGATGTAATCATTTTATTTTAGATATTTATAACCCAATTTGATCACCATTTAGGTCTGTTTAAAAATTCTTTCTTGAAGATCAGCAATACCGTATTGGCGCGAATATAAGACGGCCCTGATTATAAGACTACCCCCTCTTTTTCAAGACTCAAGTTTGAAAAAAATACTTTTTGAACACCAAATTAATTTTTATACAGAAAATAATTACAGTACATCTGAAACAAATGATTATAACAATATATTTGGGAGAAAAAGCATGTTATTTTGCCTCATTCAAATCTTAATATCTGAACAAATATGTAAACTAAAGTGCAATCACATTCGTAAATGAATGGCTTCTGATTTTTGAAATGTAAATTACCTCATAATTTCTCCTCAGCTGCCGGTTAACCTGGCCGATCTTCGACCCACTTTTCTCCAGATTATCGCTACGTTTCTCCATTTTCTGTCATCTCTCCTATTATTTTCTTCTCTTTTCTTTCTTATGGCTATTTTTCATTTCTCTTCTTCGTGCTATCGCTATTTTTATTTTTATTCTTCGTGACAGGGGTTCACTTTGGCTTGGGGAGTCAAGTTCAGCATTCACTTCAATGATATCTGGCACCATCTAGCGTCGAGAATGGGTATAATGTCTTGACCCCGAGTATAAGACGACCCCCACTTTTTCTTGTCTGATTTCAATGCAAAAAACACCGTCTTATATTCGGGACAATACGGTATTTGCTCTTTAGGCCTGGATTAGAGCACACATACGAAAAGGTTGTAAATAGCCACCCATTTTTTTTATACAGTAGTGCTTAATTGTACTTACGAGGGTCGCAGGTGAGCTGGAGCCTATCTCAGGTGACTTTGGCCAAGAGGCTGGAAGCTGGCCGCACCGTGAAACAGAGCGCTCATATTGAAAACTATTCAGACTCCGATTCATGAATGCGGACAACTCTATCGTCGTCCAAGAACCTCCTCTAGTGGGAAAAAGCAGGAGTACCGGCAGAAAACTTGTGTCGGCACAAGAAGAATATACAAACGCCACACAGGAAGGTTTTGAGCTTGAATTCCAAACTTTAGAGCCGTGAAGCAAATTATAGTCATAAAAAGATCAACGCAAATATCTAAAGATGTAAATGGGGGAAGTGAGAATCGCTGAAACTATAGCGAGGCTAACCGCTACTTTTATTCTTATACTCTCAGGCCCACATTAAGATCTCACCTTATTGCTCCAAAGTGTGTTATTGACGGGCAATGGCAGCAGACAAGCGAGTTGAAAGTGACCGATTGAAATGCAAGATGTCAAAAAGAGTGGAAAGTCGAATAATCGGTTGAACACCTAATAGTGACAGAATTGATACACTTCATAAAATCCTACGCTAATTTCAAGAGGCTTGCTGGTTTTCATCCCCAAATCTTCAATAAAGAACCTTGATGAAGAATAAAACAATTACATTTGGTTTATTTGCTTTAAGACGTAAATGCAAGTATATAATTCCCATGGTTTCATCACCTGTGGGGAGAGTCCAAGAAGATCAAATGTATAGAGTTGGGTGGTAGCCAACGGCGGGGATCTTGCCAGTCTGATCCCTGGCTGGGTAGGCCAACCCTCCTGACCAGAACCCGGGGTGTTCGGTTATTGAACCTCTGTCTTGTTATCATTAGCACAATGTTGAGGCAAATCAGCCCACTTGGCAACAGGACACTAATAGGCTCCAATAGGCTGATTAAATTTGTGGTCATATCGTTGGATAAGCGGTTGAGTGCGGACAGTCAGGTGAAGCAAAGGGCGGAGTTGTCAACCACCCACAACCAGGTGATGTACTGTCGCCAATGGTGGGTGAAGATGCCAGTGATCCGTCGGTCGAGTTTCAACTCCCACCTCCGGCAGAACTTTGACCAAGTCCGGCTGGTGTACAAAACGGGCTGCATTGAGTTTGGACCTTAGGACACCTGCTGATGACGACAGTGCACCCTGACCAACGCTGATTGTAGAAACTTAATTTGACTGGAAGCATGGGCGTCATTAGGCCTATTTTAGGGAGGCTTCAGCCTCCCTAAAAATGTCTTTAGCCCCCCCTAAATAATTTCATTGCATTATTTAAAAAAAAGTATTATTTATTTTTCCTGTAATTTTGCTAATATATTGCATCAAATTCAATGTAATGTGGCCATTTTAAATTATATTTCGATAACCTG